CAGTTCAACAGGAATGAGTTTGAGTACTCAGTTAGGAAATTATCAACAGGAAACTGCCCGTCTTTCTCCTGTGGAGCTGCTGGTGGATTCCAGCCCGATACCCTCAGCGTTTGGGTTAGGAGCATAGAGTGGACCACGCTGGGGCTCCCTCATGCCACAGTTAGGTGTGGTTAAGTCTGTACTCTGACACACAGTGACCCGAAGTCCAGCAGAATGACCGTACCCAATCCTGTGGCAACTTCACAGTCAGCTGTGCTTTTAAGCCCATGGTGGTAGTTACAATGTCAGTCCACCTCACTGAGGAGATGACTTCTCTTTTACTGACCTGATTTTGTCGAACACGTCCTCCTCCTGGAACTGGCTGTGGGTGCTGGCGCCGTGCCTGGACGTCTCTCTGCACCTGGTCGTTGTGGTCGAGGGCATCATTGGCTTCTGGGATGTGGCCCTAGTACAATGAGAAGTGGCGTTTACTTTTGTATTTAATTTTGCTTCCAAGGAGCACACTACTATGTACAATGAGAAGTGGTGTTTACTTTTGTGTTTAATTTTGCTTCCAAGGAGCACACTACTATGGTTCTCCCCCAGTCCAAGACAGATTTGTCTGTTCTTTTGGAAATCTGTGATTTAGTCAGGATTTGCCAGCACCACAGTTCAATGGGCATGTGCGAATACTATGGCTTGAGGCAGGCGCCCCTTACTCTTTAAAGTAACATCCTTGTTCTTTAGCACTTCAAGAGGTCCTTGGCAGCAGATTTGCCTAATGCAATACACTGTTATGTTTACTGCTACAGATGTGGGATTTTATGGGTATTGACTGAATGAATCAAGAAGTTTAAACTGAGATCTGACGTTAAAGGCCGGGCCTGCACAATGTCGAGTCAGAGTGTTCCAGTTGATGAGAGATTTTGGGCAGAGGTGTGAAGCACTGAAAATCCTGCCTCAAGTCTACTCAGGTGGTCTGGGTGGGGTCAGACCGCAAATGCCCAAGGTCTCAAGATAGGAAAGCCACCTTATGAGGCGGACCCAGTACTCAGTGTCTAGACTTAGGGGTCCATGAACCTGAAGTCACGATGTCCAGTCCTGTGGAAGAGCCGGCTGGAAGGTAGTGGCGCTCGCACATACACCCCACCTCCAGGCTCATCTCTCCAGTGTCCACGCAGGCTAATGGGACGTTCTCAGGATGCAGTCTCTAGAGAAAGTGAACTTGGTCCAGAATCCCCGTGTAACTTGCTCTCTCCCTGTCCAGGTGCGACCCCTCCTGCCCTCGGGGACCCCGCGATGCCAGCCCCGCCGTGCGCCTCCTGCCACCAGGCGCGCGCTGCCCTCCGCCGCCCGCGGTCCGGACAGGCGCTGTGCGGCTCCTGCTTCTGCACCGCCTTCGAGGCCGAGGTGCTGCACACGGTGCAGGCCGGCCGCCTGCTGCCCCCCGGGGCCGTGGTGGCCGTGGGCGCCTCGGGAGGCAAGGACTCCACGGTGCTGGCGCACGTGCTGCGGGAGCTGGCGCCGCGCCTGCGCATCACGCTGCAGCTGGTGGCCGTGGACGAGGGCATCAGCGGCTACAGGGACGCGGCGCTGGCGGCCGTGCGGCGGCAGGCGGCGCGCTGGGAGCTCCCGCTCACCGTCGTGGCCTACGAGGACCTCTTCGGGGGCTGGACGATGGACAGCGTGGCGCGCAGCACCGCCGGCTCGGGCCGCAGCCGCGCCTGCTGCACCTTCTGCGGGGTCCTGCGGCGCCGGGCGCTGGAGGAAGGCGCGCGCCGCGTGGGGGCCACACACATCGTGACCGGTGAGCGCATGCGTGGAGCGAAAGCTGATGGGAGGGGGGTTGAGTGCATGCCTGGGAGGGCGCGCACCGCGTGGGAGCCACGCACATCGTGACCTGTGAGCGCATGTGCAGAGCGAAAGCTGATGGGAGGGGGGTTGAGTGCATGCCTGGGCGGGCGCGCGCTGCGTGGGGGCAACACGCATTGTGACCGGTGAGCGCATGCGCAGAGTGGAGGCTGATGGGAGGAGGGTTGAGTGCATGCCTGGGCGGGCGGGCGCGCGCTGCGTGGGGGCCTTGCACAGTGTGACTAATGAACGCATGCGCAGAGCAGAGGCTGATGGGAGGGAGGTTGAGTGCATGCCTGGGAGGGCGCGTGCTGCGTGGGGGCCACGCACATCGTGACTGATGAACGCATGCGCGGAGCGGAGGCTGATGGAGGGTTGAGCACATGCTCAGAAGGCGGTAAAGGAGACCCTGGGACCGGACTTGTGCGCATGCCCAAGAGGTGGTAGAGACCCTGGGCAAGACCTAAGGGCAAGAACCCAAGAAAGAGGAGGGCACATACTCCAGTTTGGCTCTTATTTGTCATTATGTCGAAATGGACCTCTAAATGATTCTCCAGCTAGTTTCCAGAGTCTGTAAATCACGCAGGAGAAACCACATTTTTCTATTCCCATAGAGCAGCTGGGGGATTTGAACCACGTGTGTTAGGATTGGCAGCGCAGCTCCTTACCACTGAGCCACCACCCCAGTTCTTCAACTGCGGCCACTGTGTGCGCACCTCCAGCGTCCACCCACAGGACCCACGCACTGGGCCCCCATGCCCTGGTCCCACTCGTGCCCTGGCTCCACGGTGGCCAGGGAAGGGGTCTCCATGACTCGCACCCTCAGCCCCACCTGCTCCCTGTTTCTCCATGTCCTGGGGGGGTCCCTATGCGCAGGAGCCGCCTCCTCTGCGCCCCCTTCACGTGCTCGCATCTCTCCCCCAGGCCACAATGCCGACGACGTGGCGGAGACGGTGCTCATGAACTTCCTGCGCGGTGACACAGGGCGGCTGGCACGCTGCGGGGGCCTGGGCTCGGCTGGCGAGGGGGGCGCACTGCCCCGCTGCAGACCCCTGCAGCTGGCCTCGCAGAAGGAGGTGGTGCTGTACGCGCACTTCCGCCGCCTGGACTACTTCTCCGAGGAGTGTGTGTACGCGCCCGAGGCTTTCCGAGGCTATGCTCGCGACCTGCTCAAGCAGCTGGAGGTGGTGCGGCCATCGGTGGTGCTGGACCTCGTGCACTCGGCCGAGCACCTGGCCCTGGCCCCAACTGCGCAGCCCGCACCCCCGGGCGCCTGCACCCGCTGCGGGGCACTGGCCAGCCGCACGCTCTGCCAGGTCTGCACGCTGCTCGATGGACTGGACCGTGGCCGGCCGCGCCTGGCCATCGGCAAGGGACGCAGGGGGCTGGACGAAGCGCCGCTGCAGACTAGGGCCGGCCCTGCTCTGTCCAAGGCCCTTCCTGCCTTCTAGCCTCTGGGATGTTCGGGCTGGAGTCCCCAGGCCTGCCTGTGAGAACTACAAATAAACCCTCTTGCCTACCTCTACCTGGAGTGTGTGTTGATGGCGAGGTGAGAAGCCAGTTTATCTGTAACCTGAAAGAAGCCAAAGCCCAGACCTCGGGTCAGACAAGGGAGAAAGGGGGCCTGAAGCCCTGGGTTGAAGGAGGTGAGGAGGGGGTGGGGTCTTGGATTCTTGAGTCTGAAGTGACTAGGAAGCATCTGGACTGTGGGTCTGAGGGAGAACGGGACGGGGGCTGGGCTCCTGGACCTCAGGGAGGAGGTGGTTCAAGGGGAGCTGTTTGACTTTTACTTTGCTGGGTTCCCAGGTGTGGTGTCATGGGTTCATTGTTCCAGTGGCTTTCCAAGCTGTCCACTCTGACTTTCACAACACGAATGGGTGGGAACCAAAAATAGAGTAAGAAATGGTGCTGCCAGTGCAAAGGCATGCAGTTAGAATCCACTAGGTGCACGAAGGGAGAAAGATGGGCAGTTTCCTGTGTAATTTACTGCCTCTGAAAACCCAATGGAGGCTCAACTATGGGTTGTTTCTGACTCGACAACAACATAAATTAATAATTTGAGAATAGTCTGTTTCTCGTTCCACCTAATTACTACCAAGGAGCAGAAAATGCAGTGGACATCCTTTGGACCCAGAGATTCTGCCCTTGTCAGACTGCACCTGGCAAAAACCAGTAACAGCTTCAGCAGAGAACCAGAGACCCACATGGGATAGAGCTGACTAGGGACTGCTGCCCCACGAGACAGCACCAGTGGCCTTTACCCAAGCTTGCTGGAGGAAAGGAGTGGGGCATCCACTTTCTAATAACATGCCTCTGGAAACTCTTAGGAATTTTGATAAATGTTGATAGCGGTAGAGGGGCTTCAGGCCTTTTGTTTATAGGGTCGCTATGAGTTGTGCTCAACTCGAAGGCAATCAACAGCAACCCAACAACAAGGAAATTCTAACACTGACCTCAGCGGTAAGTAAGGATGACAGAAGTGATGCCTTTGAGTTGTGTTGGGGAAGAGTACTGAACATCCCATGGACTGCCAACAGACTAAATAGATATTTCTTGGAAAAGGTCCAACCAGGGTTCTCCTTGGAGGCAAGGATCATGAAACTTTGCCTGACATACATTGGACATGTTAGGAGGGGCCCTTGGAAAAGACCATCATGTTTGGAAAGGTGAAGGGCCAGCCAAGGAGGGGACTGACACAGTGAGCTTGAATGTGTCAGATGATGAGGGTGGCATAGGATAGAGCAGGCTTCATATCCATTGTTCCTCAGATCGCTCTGAGTCATACATGACTAGACTACCTAACAGTAAGTCCTGACACTGAAGGTGAAAGGGCCTGTGAGCACTCTTGAGAAACTGTTATACCTGAGGAATTGTATTCTCTTGTCAATCTGAAGTGTTGTCAATCTGTTAGCTTCCCCAGTAAACCCCGTTTGGGCCCAATTGTAGAGCAATACAGTTGGCGTTGGAATTAATAAAAGTTAGGTATGGGAGTGTGGGGGACATGTCTGACCTTAATACTGTATGTAATATTGTTGTTTTGTACCATTAAGTTGGAACCAACCCATACCTGACCCTCCAGCGGGTTTTCAGAGGCAGTTAATCACAACGGGAGGAGATTGCCCATCCTTCTCCCATGGAACGGCTGGTGGCCTTTGGAATTGCAGCTCAGCTTCTTGCCACTAGACCACCAAAATTCCCTAGTGTATACGATTTGTGCTATAAATGTTGTTGATGGGGACAGTCCCCCTTGTGACATGCATTTTTATCTCTATCTCGGAAGCAACCATACCATGCCGCCTACACTCTGTACAAAGAGCACTTGACCACACACCTTTCCCTTTTGCCTGTCCTCTCTCACACCTACCAGACTTCCCTGTCTGTCTGTCTGTCTTCTCCTCTCTCTCCTCTCCTCTCTCTCCTCTCCTCTCCTCTTCCTCCCCTCCCCTCTCCTCCCCCTCATCTCCCCTCCCCTCCCTTTCTCTCTCTCTCCCCTCCCCTTCCTCTCCCGCCCCCCATTAGAAATATGATGAAACAGCAAGGTCAAATTTTCAACCAAGTCAATAAGCAATTCTATGGAAACCAGCTGGATTGACTAAGACGTGAACCCAGTTAGATTAACCCCAGTTAGACTCACCAAGCGACAATTTCCTCTTCAAATGCGCTCCTCGGGAGCCTTCAAAGACCAACCAAATTCCCTGCTGTCCAGTCTGTTCTAATGTGTAATTAACCTTCCATTGGGTTTCCAACACTGTAAATCTTTATGGGAGGTGACTGCCCATCTTTCTCTCTCAGAGGCGCTGGTGGATTCGAACCAGTGAAGAAGAGTGGCCCTTTGGTTAACAGTGCAGCACACTAGGGATGAAGCCACCGGAGCTCCTTCATCTGCAGTTTCCTGCCACCTTCGAAAAGTGTTTTATCTTCAGTTGGATTCAGAGGGAGTTCCATTGGCACAGTCCCTAGAAAGCTGTCCTTCTCACCCAAAGATGACACCTCTCTGGTGGTTTGACTCCACCAATAGTTCCACTGGAGAAATACAGGTCATCTCCTCCTGTGTGATGATGTATAGTCTCCCAAAACCACACTGGATGGGCAGCTCTGAGTCCCAGCTGCCTCTCAAATGCTGCCTTCTCCAACTTTCCACCCCATCCCCACTCCAATAAATGAGCAGTTACGGTTTCTTTGGGTTGACTTCTTGCAAATGGTGGAGGAGGAGAATGGCCAGGATCTGCCTGAAGTGAGATCCGTATTCTGGCCTTCATCTCAGACCTGGTCACACAAGAAACCCCAAGAAGGGATGGCTGAGCATGACCCCATGTCCAAAAGGACAGGAACTGTGCCTGAGAACTGGCGCCTTGGCTTCAGGTGCAGACGTGGGTGTGATATTTGTGGGTTTCTGATGTTGATTCGGGCTTAGGAAGGGACACAACTTGGGCATGACTCAGCCACTTTTTGAGTTTTCCACAAGTTTTACACGCATGCCTTCAGAATGAGTTCCTCTAATTTATGAACAGTTCCTCCAGAACTTCTCTTTTCATTATATATATCAGATCTCTCTCTCCTTACTCCACTACTGTTTTCCCCTGACTGCCTGTTCTCTGTTCGTCACGGCAACTCTATCCTGTGGCCCACTAAAACCATGGGGGTCCTTCTCCCAATCTGGGCACTTAGCCTTTGTATGCGGAATAACAAGAATTTATTTCTGCAACTTCTTCAGCTCCAAAACTGAACCAGCCACTTAAACCTTTCTCTCTTCATTTGCATGGACTCAGAACTTGGTATATATATATACATCTAGGCACAGAAAAGGGCCCAAAATCATGTTCTCTGACATCCAGAGTGACTCACTGTAACACTGTTAGAACTGACCATTGGGTTTCCAAGGTCAGAATGTTTGCTGTCATACTCCACAGGAAGTTATGCTGCTAATCCAAAGTCCACACCTCTGTGATGGTTCAAATCCAGGAGTGGCTCCTTGGGAGAAAGAGGGGCAGTCTCTTCCAGTGCAATATGTTGTTGTTGTTGTTGATTGTTACCATTGAGTTGAGCACGACTCCTAGAAACCCTATGAACCAAAGGCCTGAAACCTTTCTATAACTATCGTAGCTTCTCCTAGTTCACAGGGTTTCCAGAGGGCAGGTGGTTTAGGAAGTGGATGCCACTTCTGTTTCCAAACCTGAATCAATCTGAAAGCTCCACCAAACACTGCCCAAGATAGGTAACCATCATGGTGTTTGGCACACCTATGGCACAGTTGATCCATTATGGCATTTGAGATCCCAATGGCACAAGGTTCAGTGCAACATACAGCCTTGGCAATCCAATGGTCGGTCAACTAGGAGTCATGTTGACAGATCTTTATAGAACTATCATCTTTCTCCTGTGGAGCAGGTGGTGTATTCATTCGCCCAGCTTTTTTAGTTGGCAGCTGAAATCTTGAACTACTGAATTACCTGAGCTTCCCCGTAGCAGTACAGGAACAGATCAAAAGGTAACAAGAAGGAACTGTTCACATACTGGAAAGCACAGGGAGGAGTCTGAGAAGGTTTTCTGGGGACGGCGAAAGTGGGGACCCCTATGATGAACAAGAAGCACAAAGGCCTGTGCGAAGTGCGTTGTCTCTCTGAAACTAAGTTTCATCCTAGGACAGAAGTGAGGGTTGAGACAGGTCAGGACTCTGCCTCCAGGGGGCGCTGGGAAGCCCCCCCCCCCCCCCCCCCCGCTCCATGGTTGCCTCTGTCCATGGTCCTGAAACCCAGCAGAGGCTCTAAGTGCCTGACACTCCCAAATCCTGTTGTTACTGTTGTGTGCTGTCGAGGTGCGGGTGATTAACAACAACAGCCCTAACTCCTGCTCTATCCTGTGCCAATCCTACTGTCCCTGACACACCTATTCCAATTATCCCAGTCACTGAATCAATCCATCTCATCAAGGATCTTCCTCTTTTGGACTGTCCCTCCACCCATCCAAGCATGACGTTCCTCTCCAAGGACTGGTCCTTCCTTGCAACATGCCCAAAGTATGTCAGATGAAGCTTCAGAATCCTTGCCTCCGAGGAGCAACCTGGTTTCACTCTCTGTAAGACGAACCTCGCTTCCAACTCATGGTGACCCTATGTCTTGCAGCCTAGAATGACCCCACAGATTTCTCAAGACTGGCCTCCTGAAGCACAGAGCTAGTACTATCCTCTGAGATGTCTGCTGCTGGGTTCAAACTGCCAGTCATTAGCTTTCCATGTGTGAAAACTGGTGTTCTCCAGCTCAGTTGCAAATCTCAAATTCCCAGGCACAAGTTTTCAAACTTAGTCAGAGGGAATGTGGAAAGGCTCTCGAAAAGAGGGATCAAAAGAAGGGGTCGGTGTGTGCTACAGTCACATCTCTGTGTTGTTTTTTTTTCTCTCCTCACGTTTCCCTAAGGATCATCCTGATTTTGTGATGCCATCCTGGCTAAGGGACACAG